TATTTTTCATCAAGTATTGATATGTTGAACTTTAAGTCTCTACAGAATATGATGAAAAAACATTTAAAAAATTAAAATATATTTTAAAAATAGACATAAAGAAGTATATACTTCTTATATTTACACATAAGTCCAGAAAATCTAACCATATACAACCTTGAAACAAGATAGTCCCGCAACATTCCTTTTCCTGTCTCCTGCCTTTATTCACTACCCTCTTCTTTTTGAACAATCATCTACCCAAGAGACAGCACAGCAGCAACTGGCATGTCATAAGAAGCAGCCTGTATTCAGAAGACCAGAATGACAGGCACTCCAAGCATGAACGTACTATTACAAATTGCCTCCTTCAGTGCAGTTGCTTAGTTTACAGGTGTCTGTGTACATTAGTTAGTCAGGGTGAGAATCATTCCAGTTAATTGCTAACTTTTTCCTTTTGTCCCAGGACCTATAATTACTTCTCCCAGGTATTAGGTACATTGACATCAGGGCTTCCTTCTCCTGCAGGGGTCTGTGGGCCTGCTGTATGCTTAGCAGCAGAATGGGCATCTTGTTAGGGCAGCTGATTGGTATTAATCAACTCATTGTAAGTTTCATACAGCTAAACATTTTAATTATAATAATGATAACTGCTCAGAAACTGATAGCTAGATTTTCAGTTTCCCTGAACAGCTAGATTCTCAGGGACTTTTGGAAATTCACAAAATGAACAATATTTTACTCATGACAAACTGATGTTGAGAAAGGAAAATTGATTTATAGAGCTTTCATCTTCCTAAGAGAGTGCCAAAAAGAACTTAAAAAAAATATTTCAGTCATCAGGATTTTCCACAGCATGAAATGAAAGGTTTGGATATTGGGGAAGAGCCTAGGAGTGAAGAAGTTTGTGCTCAAGTTCTAGGTCTGCTGAGGCAGTCTGGGGCCACTTACCTTTCCTGGGCTTTATCCTCAGCATGAAGATGGACCTTGACAGCACATAGGTCTCCACTTCCTGTGCTCCGTAAGGCTGTACCTGTGGGTGTTAGCGCCCCTTCCTAGTTTAGCCTGAGGCCCAGGTTTCCCTGAGACCTGGGGCTCTGATTTGCACCTTCCAGAATGGCATACAACCTGCTCAGAAATAGGAATCTCTGCTCCAATGGTTTAGCTTCAGAAGATGGGCAGGGAGCTGGTGATTTATGGCATGATTCACACCTGTTTGGGTACAAATTCTTCCCATACTTTAGCACATGCAAAGATTTATCTATGAAGATGCTATATTGTAAAATTTGAATAGCCAACCTTGTGGCGCATGCTTGTAAATCCTAGCACTCAGGAGGCTGAAGCAGGAGGATTTTCACCAGTTTGAAGCCAGCCTGGGTTTCATAGTGACTTCAAGGCCAGGGCCAGCCTGGACTACAAAGCAAAACTCTGTCTCAAGCAAAACAAATTGAGACACACCGTTATTAATTCTTGAAAAACAAGAGAGCTTTGCGATATGGAGAGGAACATGGCAAGATAGGATGTGCTGTTTGTGTTTCAGATTGTTTCTGTCTTACAGTGGGCCAGCCAGATAGCTCAGCAGACTAAAGCACCTGCTTAGACAGAGTGTAGCGGCCGGCGTTCAGTCCCCAGAGTGCCATGCCGGGATCCCCCCGGGATACGCTGAGATGGCGAATGAGACTGGGCGTGGTAGTGTATGCCTGTAATCCCAGCACTTGGGAGGCTGAAAACAGAATTCCTATGACCCTGATCTGTGTAGTGAGATCCTGAAGACGCTGTAGACCCTATGCTAAGTACATTAAAATGCAAACAATCAAGAAGATTGTTTCTGTCTTGCAGATGGAAGTCAACTTCAGTGATGTCGAGATCTACAACCTCACAGGGCTGCAGGCTTCTACTGAATATGTCCTTGCTCTGCGCTCTAGAACCAACTTGTCCAGAATCTGGAGTGACTGGAGCCAGGAGAAGACGGGGATGACTGAGGATGAAGGCAAGCTGTCCCCTGCCACCCCTGGGCTGCTTGCTGTGGGCTGGGGATGTCTCCATCTAGACCTGCTGGGTTTGGCCATGTTCAAAGCTTGGGAATCATGAGACCCTGTGTCCCCAGGGCCTGGGGAACCTGCATGCTGCCTTCCACAGGCTTCTGTGGTGCCCACTGACACCTCTGATGGGTGTTTGTTACTTGGCGGCTTGGCCCCAAAGTAAAGCTCTCTAATACTTACACTCCACACAAAATGGTAGCATATCATTTAAAGGAACATTATGATAAGTTCTAGGTATATACTGTATGCCCTGAGACTGCTACTCAAAATGTAAACATAACTGATCAAAGAAAAAAATAAGGCCACATCTTTAATGATAGCAAGTAAGGAAAGAGACAGAAACTATATATAATCAAGGCCCATACTGGTCTCAGGTAACATCTGGGGTTAACTTCTGTGCTCCTGGTCAAATAGTTTATTGCTCTGGCTTCTGCTTGATTTTCCCATAAGACCAAGTTCTTATTAACTGATGTTTGGTGTGCTTACCCTTATTGTCAGATTGTAGAATCACCCTGGAGACTTCTGAACTTGGTACTCACTGCTGGAGATGCTGTTGCTTAGTTTGGTAGGAAATTAGCAGTGGTTATTGTGTTGCATATCGTTGTCTTCAAAGTAGTTGCTCATGTTACCAGATCTAGGCTTAGTTTAAACCCCCCTTGGTGGATATCATTTCAGAACAGGACTCGGGCAGCAGGTGGGGAGCTGGGCTAGACAGCTGGTAAAGACCCCCTTTCCCCGAGAATCTACTGTGCCATGGTGTAGTCATGTTGGGAAAGGTCACAGAAAATCCAAAATCCCTATGTGCAAAGTGCTTAGGATTGTGCCTGACCTGTGGAAGGGCTATATAAATGTGAAGAAATAAAAATGCATAGTAAAATACAGTTATGACATAGATCTAATGTCAATTTTTGTGTGGGAAAAGTATCTCAATGGTTATAATCCGTTGGAATGGTCAGTCAGTGAGTCTTTTAAAACTATTAGAAGAAAGCCTTGAGATATCACTGAGCAAATTGTTCTCATCTCTGCTGCCCTTCAGCAGGGACTCTCGTGACACAGGACTACCTCACGTGTGATGCTGTTTGGTCCTGCCCTTTGCCTTGTCACTACCACTCTTCTTTTCTGGAGCTATTATAGCCCAGGGTCTGTAGCACAGTTAGCTTTTCCCTGTCCAGCTACCCTCTGATGTCAGCTTCCTCAGTGAGTTTTTCTGTCAAAAACAAGATTCACTGTGTCATCTGATTGATTCATCCAGCTAGGATTGGGAAGATTAATTAGCAAAAAGACTACAGTCTGGTGTGCTGTGCCATTTGCTAATTCACTTCAATCAACCCTTATGTATCAAAGCCACCTGAATAAAAGCATGGTTGTTTTTCTTCAGTTTTTCAAGATCCTAGAGGAAGCTGTTAAAAATACACCCTAAACTGGGTGTGGAGACACACACCTGCAATCCTAGTCCTTGGGAGGCTGAGGCAGGAGGATCACTGGAAGTCTGAGGCCAGCCTAGACTACCTAGTGAGACCTTGTTTCTTGTAGAAACCAGCAAACAAAGAAAAAAGTCACACCCTAACTCTCCTAACAAAACTTATAAATTTGTTTCCTTATTTCACAAGGAAATGCTGGTTGTTTAATACATACTACCTCAAACCTTTCTAATTATTTGAAAAATTCTAAATTAAATATGAAATACTACCTATTTTCTTTTAGATTTAAATA